CCCCCCCCCCCCCCAAAAAAATGAAGAAAGTGTGCAAGAAAATTGTTTTTGAAATGTTTTGATAGACATAGAAGTGAACTGTGCCCTTAACCATTTATTTGCAGTGAACAAAGTCTTATTTAGTTGTCTGTCTCACAGAACAAAAATAAATTTTGGGCGATGGAATTGAGGCCTCATAGTTTAACAATTCAACCAGTTTCTGATTTCGTGGCTGCAATTCCATGCCTCCAAATGTAGCATTAGGAATTTTTTTGGTTTCATTTCATAGTAATATAATCTCATGAGGATGCCGAAGGGCCCAGTATTCTTGCTCACATGTCTCGTTAGTGTGCAAAATTTCTAAGACATACGATTTTTTAGATGTGGTTATTCTCTTAGATTTGGAAGTTACTTTTACGAGTAATGGATACTTATAAAGTAGAATAATGTTATATGTACATCTTGCATGACAATTTGGTTGACATTCCCTCCTATGTGGAGTAAATTTGTGCAGTGATGTGATAGATGAGTTCAAAATCAAGAATGTATATGTTGTCATGCGAAAGAGTGTAAAGAAAGGTGTCAAGGAGAGCGTAAATGTAGCAAGGTTGTATAAAGTAGAACTCTATTAGTGTGAATGTGGAGCAGTCTTAGCCTATGTTTGGGAAGTGTTTATAAACACACTTTGTCAAATCACTTTTTATCCACACATTTCATAGGAAACAAAAGTACTACCAACTTTTCTACCACTCATTTATATATGTTTATAAGCACTACTGTTTGAACACTTCTGAAACATACTATTAGTTATTAGAATCTTGTTTTATGGTTTAATTAGCATGCACTGACCTATCACTGTTTACTTCTTTTTATATTCACCTGGAGTGCACGTGTCTAGAATTAGAACCCACTTTCCATTACAAAATGAATTTAGTTTTCGGTAAAAAATTTAGCAGATAATACATAATATTGATATTACAGCACTATGTTTATTTTAACCATGCCATCGTCATCAGAGTCAGCATTACTGCAGTAATTGCTGCTTCTATCGATGTTTTATATTTATTTGGTGTTTATTCTTGCCCTTGTTATGGCCTTGTGGGTGTTGAAACTTAAAACCTGCATTTGCCTTAATTGTCTGGCCATTTGATATTTCTTTTAGGGACAAAAATATTTTACCTCTGTGTGGTTTTCAAATGTATTGATTCCTTGTTGGTTTCAAAGGGAGCTCTATAGCCCCTTTGGTTTTCAACATCTAAAATTTCTGTCAGATGACGTCTTTTCTCACAATTACAGTAATCTATTTTTAACTAACCCTTTCCACCATTTCCATCATTTCAATATATCGTTTTTCAATGTCCCTTTTTCAACCATTCACATAGATGCTTCAACTCTTATCCCGCTCATGATGTCTGCAAACATTTGCTTCTCTTCATTGTAGACAATCAATCAAATTGCTGCTAGAAATGTGGCAAAAACATCAACTCATTTCACACACACTGCTCATTATTTCATTTCAAAAATAATGTTAGGATGTGAAACCCGAACAAATTTCCCTGGGAAAGAATAGGTCGTAACTCCATTAAAATTTCACTTAGACTGTGAAGCCCTAGAGTTCAGCATTTCTTTCTCCAATTTTCTCTCGCTACCCAACTTAATAATGAGCGAGCATGAGAACTAAGGGAACCAGATGAGGTTCGACTTATTGCTCATATTATTATGTTCATAGTCAGGGAGTGACAGAAGTGGAGTTAGAGGGAGAACTAAATTTGGCGGTATATTAGGGAAAAAAAAAAAAAGCCTTGTCCTTGCTTCTAAGTGATATTAATGACTTTTATGCTTTTTACAGGGGAATGATGTGGGAACTCAATATAGATCTGGAATTTACTTCTACACACCTGAACAAGAGAAGGAAGCACTTGAGTCAAGGGATAAACAGCAAAAGCTTTTGAACAGGAAAATTGTAACTGAGATTCTGCCTGCCAAGAAATTTTACAGTGCCGAGGAGTATCACCAGCAATATCTTGAAAAGGGTGGACGGTTTGGTTCTAAACAATCGGCTGGTAAAGGTTGCAATGATCCCATTCGGTGCTATGGCTAGAGAGTTTCATATTTATACTGAATAATGTAGTTCCATATGAATGGTTGTAAACAAATTGAGTTTGTGCTTCCTGAATGAATAATTTTTTTTTTCCTTTTTTTTATATTTTATATTTTATATTTTTTTTTTCCCCGACTTTGTTGGATCTAAGGTACGTGAAAGTTCTTAGGATGGATCACTCATGATTGTATTATTAGTACAAAGATCTTATTTTAGATGGTTACGGTTATGGGAAGTTTTCGGGCTACATGGTTTGGGCTCAACTGGATATGTGTTACCTAATCGTCTTTTATGAAAAGTCAGCGTTTTGCCATGTTCAACCTTCTGCACGTGGTCTTAATCCAGTTTGAAAGGAAAAGGGAAGTATGTTGCGTTTCGTTAGTACTTGGTTTATGTAAATATCTAGAAGGGATGAGATATCTGTCTGGTCAGTTGCTTCATGGGAATTTGTTCTTCTCAAAAGGTCTCTTATATTTTTATGAAACTGGGTTGGGTAACAATGACATTTATGATAAAAATCTCATGATATATGTATCGTGTACTTCAATAATTAAAAATGTACAGAACTGATCTCATACTTCTAGTGGACGGGATAAAATTTTCTCACTACTGGTGTGACAAAATAACGTTAATTTTGAATTGTGCCTGCTAAGGGTTGGAGATCAATTTCATAAAAACCAAGCCGTCAAAAAATAAGTGCAATTTTCAAAATTAAATAATAAAAGAAAATGATGTCTTCAAATGATTGGATATGCAATCATGAATTGGACCAGTTTACTATATTCAATTGAGAGGAACCAAGTTCGAATGCTCATAAGCAGAACAATCTCTTGCTTCTTCGCTCGTCAAACTTGACTTTTGATTGTATCGGTTAAGCACTAGGTTCGTGTCAAACTCTGGTCATGATCATCGACCCAAATGAACAAATTATTTGGTGAATAATCAAACAAGATTATGGATTAATTGAAGTGATAATTGTTGTTGATGTGTGGGCCCATCTTCATTGATGTAGTAATGATCAAGATTTGAAGGTGGGAAGTGTAGAGGAGGAGACTGTTGCAGCATCTCTCTTTGAATATAACAGCAGTATGTATGGAATGTTTGGGGGGTAACATTTAATTGGAACCCTAATCCAAATAAGAAATCCACTTCAAGAAGGTTCATTTCTGCTGTGCTGATTCCTCCGACTTTGGCATAGTATGCATTGTTGTAAAATCTGCAAGAAACAATATACAAAAAAATTAAGATTATCAAACCTAAATAGGACGTAATCGATAGAGCATGATTTTCTGACATGTTTAGTAAATTAGACTAAACGAAATTGGATATAATTGAAGAAGAAATAGAAATTAAGGGTTTTTTTTTGGTTATATATTAGGTTAGTTGATCTATACTTTTGATTCAACCGAGTCATTCAATCAAACTCCGTTAGCTTGCTAAAAGGAAAATAAATCCAACTCTTTTCGTTTGTCAAGTTAGCAAAGTTAGATAAAACGACTTGATAGTGACTCAATTGATGTGAAATGAAGTTCATTAAACACCTAAATTACAAGTACAATGGCCCAATAATTATAGTCACAAAATTCATACATGATTGATAGATTAGGATTGAACACCAACTAATGCATTTCATATTATATTCATTTCTTGTAATAGAAGACATGGGATATGAACAAGGAGGGGAAGAAATAGACTCGTGGCCAACCACTATCATTTTCCCCCTACTTTGAGGATGAACTCGATAATAATTTTATAATTGTCAAAAAAAAGAAAAAAATAATAATAATAATCCGGTCGAGAAATGTATCTTGTATGTTAGGGCTGGCTTCGAAAACTCGTGTGCAATTCATTCTCAAAGAACGAGAGAAAGAGAAGAATTATTCGGGAAAGTATCTTATTCTATATATACATTTATATGTCAGATTCTTTAAATTTTGAACATTGTTCCATCCAGACAAGGGACACCAAATTTTAAGTGTCTTTTGTCTAATGGAAAACAATAAAACGACGACGCAACTATGACATCGCTATCAATTGATGTGAGTAGGTAAATTTTATATTGAATTGATCGTACGCTACTCGAGAAAACTCGAATAGTGAAAGTGACTCATTTAAGAAAAGTCCTAGAGGCGCACGTATCTTGGGGTCTCGCAAGAATTCCTATATAGCATTGCAAGTGATCTGGTACTTATAGTACAGTCGACAAAAATTTTCACTTCTTTTTAATCATATCAATATTCCAAACATTCATATATTTTCTTAAAACTACTGGATCAAGTGGTTAAAAAATGAAAAGAAAAGTAGTACTTAAACAAGAATTATAATTTTCATCAAATTTTAGGAGAATAAAAGCATGAAAAAAATAAAAAACTTACATATCATCCATAAACTTTGCAGAAACCAACACACTCGTAATAAGGAGCCGATGAACATTGAAAGAATTTATAGGCAACAATGGCTGCTTCTTAGCGAACCGGTCGAGATAAATGTATGCCGTGATATAGCAAGAAGGGCTGCAATATGCATACTTGAAGATCCTCTGCAAGTAGCCGTAGACAGAAATGGCAGGCCTTGTCAAGCCATGGAAGATGGAGATTTTCTGCGAGTTAAGATGACGAAAAACGTCATTAGTTTCAGCTACTCTTTGAAGAAGGGAAGAGAGGAAGGTAATGACTTTAGGAATTTCTTCAGAATTCTCAAATTCTGCCATTGATGGATGCTTTGATAGCTGATTATAAGTATTTCGTGGTTTTTTAATGGCTATATGTAATCTGTGTAAGAAGAATATGATGTGAGAAGAGTTTGCGTTTGTGCACTTATATAGGAAAGCGATTGACCCGGAAATTAATGGGATTGGAAGTGAGCTGGTAATTGCACTGACAATTGTAGTTCTATTCCTGATTTCTAGTGCAATCGTGCTACAGAAAAATTTGGAAGAAAACAGACAACATACGGCGGGAATTGATTGGAAGGTGAAAAGAGAGGGGGAAAAAGGAAAAAAACAATCCAAACATATGCAACCACGATAACATCAGTAGAAATTTTGTCAACGATGGAACTTTTGACCCAATGGCTAAAACATACTCAACAATTAATTTTAGTTATACACCGACCCACAATTTTTCAACAACACTTTTCATTATTTTTCTTTTAACAAAATCTACTAAAAAGTGAATTTTTATCTAAACCAACCAGAGGCTTAGGGGTGTTTGGTAGGGATTACAATTAGATTTTTTAGTAAATTATGATAAAAAATTTTATGTGGTTTAAAAGTTGTGGGACCCATGATAGATATGGTTAATATTGATTGTTTAACTTTGACTTAACCCCCACCCCCCCCACCCTTCCTTTTGAGATATTGATATAATGTAGTTGTTTCATGAGTATTCCGTTAGTGAAGGGAAAAAGGGTAATCGTAAACTACTAATCATTGTAAAACTTCGCAACACCTGCTACATAGATGTCTTTAATCTTTGGTTGAATCTCGTTGGGAGCATTTTATATTAGAAGGGTGTTTGGGAGCCATTTTTATGTAAAAATGTATTTTCGAATAGTAAATTGATGGAAAATGTGTGGTTAAAAAATAAGGAAAAGTTTTTTATTTACGTGTAATATTATTTTAATGAAGAATATGTAATTGAAAAGAAGAGAAATGAAAATGTATTTTGAAAAAAATGGGTACCAAACAGGTTTTAGGAATGAGTTGGATCAAATCTCGTTTTCGGTCGAAAGTGTATTCCATAATCAAGACTACACTTCGATGTCTAGAGGTGTTGAAAAGTAATAAGTGGGAATATAGTGAAATTGAGGAAATGGACTCAAGAAGTTCTTTTATTGTTTGGGGGATTTTATAAAAATTTTCATATAACTGAATGTCCAACCGTCAATTTATTTCGGACTTTCGTTTTTTCCCCCAAAAAATTGTAAGATATGATAAAAATTTGAATAATGATATGTAAATACTCAGCTTAGCAAAAAGTTAGTGGTTTTGTCATAAAATTGAACTTAAATAAAAGCTTGGTATTGACTTTTCTTAGAGAGGAAGAAAAGGGTAAAAAGTTAGTGATCATACGAGGGAATATAAAGTTAAACGAACATGAAATTAGTTAAAAGTCGTTTCAACCTATTACATGATGTCTTTTAGCACAAAATACACTTAAAAACTGGGTGATCACAATTTAAATATTAAATTCAATAATTTATAGCCAACTAGAAAAATCAAGAAAAAAAATACGACCAACAAATCGAGATCGAGTTTATCAAATATAAGTGAAAAATATGATTTATGAGAACATCCTTTTTTTTTCTTTTTCTTTTTTAATTTGACTTAAATTACATAAATTATTTTTCCACCCCAACTATAGTCACTTAGAAATGTAATCACTTAATGCAATGAATTTTGGTGATAATGCACAGGGAGAAGAAGAAATTACTAATGGGTTTGACAGATGAAATGAACATTGAGAATGAAATTCTGTGAAATATGGCTAAGTTCAACTTTAAATGCTGATTTTAATAGGGACATTTTAAACATTTCAAATGAATGAAATTTAGTACTTTTATGTTTCTAACGTATAATAAAATAGACTATAGACTCTTGAAACAAAAACTATTGATCGAAATGCTAGACTTTTTAAACAAATCCCCCTACTTCCTACGGTAGCTACCATAGCCACAAGCAGTCAAAAACCTAAGGAAAGCCCTACGAGTCGATCTTTCTAATCATAGGGACAGGAATATCCTTCTGTTACTATAATAGGATAGAATGGTTTCTTAGTTATCTTTTTCTACCAACAAAATTTACTCTTTGCAAAAGTAACTTTTGAATTCAATCAAACATGTTTTAAGCTAAATTCATTGTATATACATTTATATAACAAAATTCCATCGTTTCATATTAATAATTTGAACAACTACAGTCGAAGGGCCATAATAGAAATTTATACGTAGATCTCTATCTAGGTACATGCATCAAAAGATATCGATAAATTTTAATACTTTTAAATGCTTTCGTAGTAGCTTTCATGTTATAACTCACAATGTTGCTTACTACGTTTAATCATGAACATATGGTCATTACATTTTGGACAAGTCAAGCATACACACAATCCAATTGATCTAAGTCCTTCGGAAATCTTGTGTGACCTGAACTGACCGCACATATATTGACGAATTTCTTAACTAATCTTTACGTCACTACCAAACAACTATTGTATCACTATGACACTACTCGACAACCTCTATCAACATGGAATGTGGTCGACCATCTCCAAGCCACCATATTTTTCAATCGCGTCATCACGCAGCCTTCAAAAATTAAATCGCATTTTCCCATAAAACGCTATCTTAATTGTGAGAGTGCTAAAAGTAAACCAATACACAAGTAGTCAAGTACACACAACTTCTATTGAAGTGTAGTACAAAGGAGACACATCAATTGCGGTTAACCATAATTTAGTGAGCTTTAGTTACACTCAAACTTTTTCCGTAAACAACAATCAATCACCAATAATCACCTATATATTTAAATGATTACTGCATCATATATTTTATGCTGATAATTTCATAAAAGAAGTTGAAATTCTTCCTCAAAAAGGGACTTATTGGAGACCCTATATATCTTAATATAGAAACACTTCGTTTTAAATATTTACACATTCGCTATTCCAAGTCCCACTTTGATGAGACATTCAGGGGTTGTTTGAAAAAAAATTTGATAAAAAATTTAGAAAATTTTGATGAAAGTTTATGAAAGGTATAATTGAAAATGAAAGTTGTGGTCACATGAAATGTGTAATTAAAATTAATTATTGACTTTAATCTCAATTTTCAGGAATTTATTAAGATATTCTAAACAAACATTCAGCGTACGTTTGATTGCGAGCATAAAATTTGTATAAAAAAAATTTTAAAAATTAGACAATTGAATTGCATAGAACTTATTTGTATGTAAATTATTAATTAAATATGTTTGATTGATTTAGTTCTCAATTTAAACCTCAAGTATAGGCTATTTTTCACAGAATTCTCATATCTGCCTATTTTTGTCTTTTTATCTTGTTCCAATGAAAATTGGCCAAGTGTTGTTCTCGTAAGTGTCATTTTCATGTACGTGTAGCAGGCTTGTTAGTTCTCAACATCAAAATATTATAATTGTCCATTTTTTCGTGGGGGTAGATGTGTGTGTGTGAGAGAGAGATTAAATTACTTGGAAAATAAAATCTATCATTCCCTAAAGAAAAATGTTTTCCTTGTTTTTAAGGAAAATATGATCATAAGACCAAATATTAGAAAATATTCTCCATCGGAAAAAAATGTCAATCAAATACCTAAAAAAATTCCGGTTGAGAAATGATATTTTTCATAAAATATAAAGTCCGTCAAACACACTCAGCATATGAGTTGTGAGATAACATAACTCACAACCTTACCATAATCACTGGGTATATCTGCAACTCTTGTCATAGTATAAATTAGAAAAACTCATCGAACATCGAAACATATTATTGTTATTTTGTTTCATTGAATAAGAATGCGTGTTTATAATTGCACCTTTAGATTGACCAAAACAAATGATGATATATATAAGTTGTTTGGATTACATAGAGATTATGTTAGGATGAATTCGGTTAACCACCAAATTAAATATCGGTAATTAAATTCATTGCTTTAGGTAATGCTATAATTATTTGGTAACTTGTAATTGCAAACAAGGAAATAATAATCATCGAGTGAATTTCACCAAATTGGTAATTGATTTTCGTAAGAAACCACATTGCTTGATATCTCGATGATAATACTTAACACGCTAAAGCCTATAAAATCACAAATAATATTCGAAGATGATTTGTTTAGAAATGTATTAAATATGCTTTGAAAAAAAATACCGATATTTAAAAAAATTAAATTGTCCACTACAAATTCTTATAGTTGCTAGATAATAAGAATAGTGATTTAAAACAAGTTACACTATATTATATGGGACAAGAAAAAATGTAAAACAATATCGAATATCGGTCTCCGTTGAATTTTTGTTTAATTCCCGAAGTTGGAATCTTTTAAAGAAACCACCAAATGTTGATTAAATAAGATTATAAATTAGAGTAGAACAAAACAAGATTTGGTAAATATATTGATTGGCAATGAGTAGCCATCCTCTAACATTATAAAGTATTATGACTTGTAATCTTGTATATGGTTTAAATGTGTATTAAAAATGGATAAGAGGTAAGAATTACAAGTTGGTCCAATAGGACCATACATACATTTCTATATAGTGAGAAAGTGAAAGATGGTTGATAACTTGAGAGGGGGAAATCTTGATTTGTGCTGCACACGTTTGGAAGGTATGATTTCATGGTTTGTACTAAATGAAATGGCATTAAAGAAATTAATCAAATTATATTTCATTTGTTTGGTGGAATATTTTGATATAGATTTTTCATGTTTTGGACATGAAAGTTTCTTTTACAAAATATACCATTTATATCGGGTGTAATTATTCTTACATACCATATTTTATTAATTTATATTTTAAATATTATACTTTGTATAATGACAATACACTATGCAAAATTTACAAATATGTCATTATATAACGTTTTCCAACTAATATTTCTACGTGTTGATTTTTCATTAAATATTTTTTTTCTTTAAAAGATGTCTTTTTTTACAAGATTCATTTATTTTCTTATATATATATGGGTGGATTTTGTAATTATTCCTACCAAAAATCATATCTAGCAAGTTTATTGTTAAACCACTTATGTTTAGCTCGTGTTTATAAATTGTTTGTAAATATTCAAAAATTACATTTTATTCACACACTTTGAGAGA